AGGTGCAAGACTTTGGGAGTGTCGTCGCAGCATCTGCAACATTGCTTCGGACATGCGGCGATGGCCGACCAGTTCTGATCGAATGAGGCATAACTCATTCAAAAATAACGCTGAGCGCAATGCAATGCATCTGTGAAGTCTTACATTTAGTGGCCTTCATTTCCTGCAGCACCTCCAGATTGCATGGTGCGTCAGCAATAACAGCGAGCGTGATTACTGTTTAATAGAGGCAGTATGAACGCGATACTTCCGGTAGCTTGTTCAGGACCCTGGATGTGGTGGACTAAAGCCACTGAAGAGAGAAATGGGCGCACGTGCATACGTTGTTGCAGCAGGCCTTTTGGGTTTGGTGGGAAGCGCGGCGTCTTCGTCATCGGAGCTAGAACGGGCGGACCGGCCTCTAAGTGGAAATAAAAACACCATACTCACATTGGACGGTTGGCTGGAAGGCCCATCTGAATAGTATCGCCTGCGGATGGCAACATGACGCGCTCTAATTGACGTTCCATTTCTCGGGCATGCTTGAAGCTAACTTAGGAGGCCGGTTAATATAACAAAAAGACTTACTCGTGCTAAGGATGATGAACACTGCCGTGCTGGTCACATCCACATCGGTTGCAGTGCGCTTTTTCACAGTTGCATAGTGGTGCGTACCGTGCACGGAAGGTATTTGGGCGTTCGCTCCTTCTTCTCGATGCCAGGTATTACTGACAATAGTTATTAAATCGTCGGAGTCAAGTAGTTTGACAACGCTGCATCCTTGAAAAGCCAGCAATGCTGAAAAAGGAAGACGTCAATAGTTAGTGTATAACTGTGGCATAGGGTAAATTACAAGGAAATCGTTCAGGGAAAAGCAATGCACTTGAATAGAACATGAGAGACGGAAATGCTACATACATCTCTTGACACTTGTGATGCACGGAAGGTGTATGCCGTTGAGGAATCCATGCTGTGTAAACAGATTAAGATGCTTCACAAATTCCCGGCATTGCCCGACGATGTTCGCAGACACATTCACAGCCACATCTGTGAGCACTCTGAGTTTGACATCGATGATGACCACGTTATCCGGCTTCACTGTGGAAAACAAAATGCCGTACAAACGAAACGCTTTGTGACCCTTATACTCACACATCCATACATTCCCACACGTGCTTGCGTTGCTGAAAGTAAGAGGAAGCTGTTCATCTTCAGACGAACGCCGCATGATTTGAGCAACCGGACGCAGGGAATTGTGAATCATGCGCTTAATGGAAAACAAGTGAGAGTTAAAGGGAAATGCTGAGAAGCCGTCTAATGTCCCCATCTTCTCTACGTCAGCGGGCAGATGAACCAGTGAGTGCACGTTCCACGTCCTCTCACTGGGACAATAAAGATCAAAGTAATCATGTAAAAAAACACTATTTAAAGGAATAAGGAAATCTGATAAGGCAGTGTGAAGGTGAGGGTGGCACATAATATAAATAGAAAATGAGAGATCTAGGAAGTTATGATAGAAAGCCTCAGGCAACACCCCGGCGTATAGCAACAACTGACGCAACTCAGTTGCCTTCCAAGATCGGTGTTCATCCAGTGATCGAAGCTGACGGGGAGGGTCCGCTGTCCAAGAAGGTCCGATGTCATGCAACCGTTCGTTAATTGATAAATTTTTCGACGTGGCATGCTGAAACGGAATACATACGTATCAAACATGCTATAACCGGAAAACCTGATAGGTGTGCCTGAGGAAACGCAGCTGCAAGGGAGTAACACAATAGCGCAAAACCAAGCGGTATCAGCGATCAAGGTTACAAAACCGAAACTGTGCAAATAAAGTGACCTACCAATGCATTTAAACGGCTGATGTTATGGTCAAATAATATCACATATAATGCATACCATCCAGTTGTTTATCAACAGGTGTCAAACTAAATGTATTTAGCTGCAACTAAGGCATTAACACCTGAACTGGACACCAGTCCAGTTTATGTCCAGTTTGCTACGTTTACTGGTATGATTGTGCTACCAGGGTTGGACGCAAAACAGAACACAGACGAAATGTGCAGCAAACTGTTTTGAAATGAATGCAAACTGGTGTCCACTGAATCAGCTATGCACGCTGTGTTGCAAAAGTGCTAATATTCAACTCGCGTTACCATGCGTCTAAGTATCGATGGGAAAACATCCAAGCTTGTAATGCATGCAGCCATATTTGCCTTAAACATGCGCAACACTAATGCAATATTGGTGACTAAAGTAGCAATTGTTCACTACAAGGTATAAAAGCTGAGTATACTCTTTCTGAGACCATTTATTAAAAATACCTGTAGTTCACTGATAGTCTCGTCCTGGACTGCTTAATTAGTCGCCTGTTGTGCCGATATTTGTATCCTCGGACTTTTAAGGTGAAACACATCATTAATATAATGAAATAAGTAACACTTGGGGTCCGTGAGTTTCATAGCAGTTGACAAATCATAACAGACATAATTAAGTGGCTTCTTTAACAGCGAAGATCTTGTAAAATCATAGGAAACGCAGAATTATGGTACCCATGAATTACCATTTTATCCCAACATATGTAGCGGGAGCCCTCCCAGTGAAGCGTGCTTTTGGCCACTTGCGAAGAAGCAAAATGAGATGAAGATAAATGTCTTTATATGTCCATGAATGTTGATATCTAATGTTCTAAATCATTATCGGCGCTGTTTAGTGCGTAAAATCTTTCTTTTTAACCATACTTTCTGTCAGCGCAAGTGACCTTTAGAGCGCCATGCATAACGAATAATTCTTCACTGTGGTAGTACGTAATTACAAGCCCGTAATCGATTACCGCGTAACCTTGACGGAATGTGCATCCCTTCTGCGGGAGCAGCGAAAACGTGCGCCGTCGTGTGAGTTTTGTAACTCCATAAATGACCAGAATTTTGGCCCTCAGCAGTCTAAATGCACACCTTATGAACGACATTTTGGTCACGCAATATATTTTCCAACGCCACCTTAAATTCAACGACGAAAGATCCATGGTAAAAATATCGTAAACATGAAGCGGAGAACTACTTACTAATTGTACTTACGCAATGCAGTAACCGAAAAGCCAAACCCTAAATGATTTTGAATGACAAAACCTCGTCCAAACGAAACGAAATTGGGCTGAATTTTTGTCAAACAGTATTCTTTATCTGATGCTGCCTCACCATTACCGTGAGTGCGCTACTGTCGGAGCCTCTATACTACAAGCACAATCCTCGGAGTCAAATGATATTGCAAAGCACTTGGCTCCCATTACATCGGCAAAAAATGTGCCACTGATGGAGCCTATACACACCGAGCACGAGCCTTGGAGCAGCGTGCTATTACAACCTACCTGGGTCCTATTAGGTGGACACCAAATTTGCCACGGATGGAGAAGCTATCCTAAGATAATGCGCCTTGTGCTATTACAACCCACCTCAGTCCTATTACGTTGACACCGAATATGCCACTGATGGAGTCTATATACAATGAGCACGAGCCTTGGAGCCTGTGCTATGACAACCCACCTGGGTCCTATTACACTGGCAGCAAACGTGCCGCTAGTCCAGTTAATTGTATAAAATGCTTTAACCCCAAAGGACCGCAGAAACCGACATAACAAATGTGCATTTACTTTAGCAGAAAGCAGCAAGAAAAGCTTCAGCGTTGTTAAGTATATTCGTTCCTTGGACGCGCATGTCCTAAGCATGGTATCATTACACAAAGTCGTATTCATCGGCTAAAATGTAATAGTCATACGAACGTATATCCTACTGTTAAGTAGTTAAATGAGTTTTGTCTGAACAAGTTGTTTCTTCTCAGACTTTAGTGGGATAGCATCGATGTCGACGCTACAAGAAAGTGAAAACGGGAGCCTAAGTTGCACAGCACAGCTTACTTTGGCACCCCACTCTGCAAAATATCTCTGGTTGAAGAGAACTCGACGGCTCCCTTTCGACAACCTATGGATGAAAGGTAAGGAAAAAGTTCACCAGTACCAAGTGCATGTGCAACAGGATGGTGAAGCGGTTTCCCGGGTGAGATACCTCAAACTATGGAAGAGTCAACAATTTTTATGCACATACCACTCCGTCTCCAAGGTCCGAGGAAACCGCTTGTAACATGGGTTGTGCTAAATGACGCATCACTAAGTTGCATGCATACGTAGTTAAGAGGCAAACTACGCGATGAACGTATGCGCTGCCTTCTATTAGCTGACGCTTGTCACAGAAAAACGCGGCATGCAGTGAAAGCCAATGCAAAAAACATGGGCATTAAATTGGTGGATCAGGGGGATTTTCGGGCGTTTCCGTTTTAGATCCATCGAGAATTCACAGCAGCCCTAACAAGTCCTGGATAAACGTCCTGCTCAAGAAGGAACACTTTCGGGATACAACTTATTTCCCTAGTCCCACTGGAACTTGAACTGCATCCTGTACAGGACCAGGCTTTAGAACGCAATCATACTGTGTTCGAAGGGCTACGTAATGCTAACCTTACACAACCATACCTACAAATACATCGTAAATATTTCATGAACAACCACGTTTTGTTTCTTCGTATGGACGACAGAAAATATTGGTCGTGGCGGCTTTGGAGTCTGTGTTTACTTTAGTATGTTCAGGGAATGGGATAATCCGTATCTCACGGACGGGCGGAAAACATACTGATGTAACACTCCTGATATCCACCGACATTTCATTTATAAATATATAGCAGAAATTAAGGTATTAACGAAATTATTACAGCATTAATAAAATAATGCAAAACTTTGCTGATGTCAGTAATGGTAAGACAAAAAATAAAGAAATTAAATTTAAAATAGAAAGAAACATAACTATAAAAATTTATAGCCGTGTGCGAACACAAGTTTCTATGCAAGATTTATCACTTATCTTAATCTTTTATCCCACAGTGGCTCAAAAAACCCAAATAAAACCTTCGTACCAAAGCACGCAGGACATTTTCGGCCCATTTAGAGTCCGTGAGTTACCTACTTCATAGGTATGGTGGATGTGTCGGCGGATGTTTTCCGCCCGGCTTCTCTGTTGATGTGCAAATCGGGCGTTATGGTGGATTACCTACCTGAAGATACATTAAATAGCGTTATTATTAACGACGGACCTATTGACCCTTCAGGCTTCGGTGCCACCTCCCTAAAGGAGTATTCACACAACTTGGAAGGGGTAAGCGACATTAGTTATCGTGTGCTCATCTTGCTTAGTAGCATAAGAAACACGAGACGATGGTCGGAGGTATGTTTACTTGTGGTTACACAGTGAAAATTTATAGGCGGAATGTGCATCAACCCCCACATTTCCTCACCACTTGGCATTACAGAGGTTAGCTGTTTTCTTTCTTCATCTTTGCGGACGTATAACTGACTTTTACTGAAGTTCAAACCGCTTCGCTCGATATATGTTTGAATTTCTGGGTCGATGCGCATTTTAGTCGGTGCCAAATTTGCTCCAGTTAGAGTTTTCAACTGTTTTTTCTCATAGGATGGATATATCCCTCGAATGCTTGAGTTCGAGGTGGGGCAGGATGTTGGCTTACATTCCTGTCATGTTCCCTCTACGGCGCTTCGTTTAGCCAGGATGTTAGATGTCTGTGATAAATGCAATCTAAAAAAATTAAGCCAGCACGCTTAAAACACCACTACCAAACGAATAATACCCATTTAACGTACGCCGGTGGTTCCCGCTCCACCGGCCCCGCGAAGTACCAACAAGTACAATAGTAGTAATAAAAGCGTTAAGAACGAAAAATTGTTTTTTACTAATGCAGTAGGTTGATCAATCTTGGCTATGAAGGGCAAAGTCGGGTACCAATGGTCGAGGGCGTCGAATTGATGTTCCAATTCCTTCACCGTTGGTAACAACACTAAGTTGTCGTGCAGCACATCCCAGGAATTCACGACCCAACTTTATAGACGATATCCGTTCACACTCCATCAGGTTGACGTTTTTGTAGCTGTATTGGGAAGTCCTGGAGGGATGTCAATCGAGTTAGTTGATGAAACCATGATAACTCAGGTCCCATTTTCCCTGTTAGTTTGCGATAAGTTAAGGGGAAGTCGCAACTATGGTGACAGTAATGTAATGAAAATATTTCCAGTTCGATTGGTCATTCTGGGTCCGACAGGTCCCAAAATATTCATCTGTTTAAAGATATATAACATGAGCTCGTCTATCCTAGTGTCATATGGCAGTGACGGCAATACTGCCTACACTGGTCATGGAAATGCTTGTCTGCTCAGTGCACACCATGCTGAAATCTTTGTCTGGGAGTGTCGATTATCACATGTTGATTTAACTGTTACAGACGACTTCTCTTTTAGTGGAGCTTCCGTTTCCTAGGCATAGATTCCACGAACTAAACGCTGCTGTCGCCGGGACGGGTGTAATCCATCTCTAGGTCTTTTGTGTAAACTAGTAATAAAACTATGTGGGCCAGACATTTATCTATCAGTTGTCGCTACACAGCTGTTCACTTCCTAAAGAGTGGGAGGCTATCGTTTGCTTGTTCAAAAAGAGTGACAAGCACTTCTATGTCAGTTACTGGTGCGATGGTTTGTGTGCCTCAGCTAACAATTGAGCTATGCTGGATGGTGCTTTTTGCACCTTCAGAGCTACTCATACCAGTTTGGTCAATGGTTAGCAACCTGACAAACTTAGTCTTCTGGCACTCCAGGTTGGGGGTTGGAGTGAGGATGGCTCCTTACTCCATAAAACGGGCTCTCTGTAGTCCAGTACCGAAATCCCACCGTCTTACGGCAAGGTTTTTGAACCAAAGACTTTGGTTGAGAACCATAATCGTTCTGTCTAGACGTGGGCAACCTGACAGTATCTTGCCCACACAATACACCATGACTTTTCCTTCTAACAATCTCTTGATGCCCTAACCATCACATAGGAGAGTAAACGGCGCCCTATCTGCTGCATCGAACAGGGTGGATAGGCGTTTGGATTCTACCGCTCAGGCCTTCCCGTCTTCTTATTCCCCTTCTGTGCTTTTTTATTCTTAGCGTCCCGTTCCAATTTCAATTTCATCCCCTCGTTTTCAGTTCCCCGATTCTTGTCCCTTCCTCACCTTGCTTGAATAGTCGCTTGTTTTCTAGTTTCAACTCACACGATCGCAGGGCGTCGCTCCCATTCAGTCGACAAGCCCATGTTCAGCCAAGCGGACAACGCCAGTTCATCCGTTTCCCTTTGGAGTCTTCGCGTCTCACTGAGACTGGCATGCCTCAACGTGCGCACTTTGCTACAGATTGGCCAACCGGCAGCACTTGCCCGCACACTAGAAGCCCTACCGATGGATGTTTGCTGTTTATCAGCAACCCGCCTGCAAGATCAGAGCTCCGTGTTTACTTTGCGATCCCCCACATGCGACACTGGCGGCACAATCTCATTGCGCTTGTCTGGCGATGTTGCAGCTTCAAATGCCGGTCAAGCTGGCGTCGGCATTGTTTTGAGTCCCCGGGCTGAAGCTGTCCTGATCGACTGCATCCCTGTCAACAGCCGGATGTACGCCGTCAGTTTAGCTGGCTCGTTCCAGGCTTCGAAGTCGCGCGGAGACAAACGGTGTCTTTTTGTCATTGCGGCTTACGCTCCCACAAACCGCAGCCCTGTTTCGGTGAAAGATGATTTCTATCATCAACTTAACGATCTTATTCGCTACAGAAGAAGCACGAATGCTGTGGTGCTTGCTAGTGATCTAAACACCCAAGTCGGAATCTTATCCTCTGATGAGCTTCATCTGGGCGGCCAATATGATGCAAACTTCCGTAATGATAACCGTGAGCGGTTGCTACACCTATGCGAAGGTGCTCGTCTCTTTCTTGTGAGCATTAGCTGTCGACACAGCACCCGCGGAAAGGAGACTTGCCGCCCACCAGTCTCGGGCCAGCCATGAACGCAAATGGATCACATCGTGATTAGTTACCGCTTGAGAGACTGTGTCCAAAACTGTCGCTCGATTTGGTGCACCAACGTGGACTCCGATCACCTTCTCATGTGTGCCGACCTGCGGGTGCGTTTCGGCGAACGTCCGCAACGTCGCTCTGAGCACACTGATACCAACTAGCTGGCGAAACCGGGTGTTCAGAATGCGTATCAAACTACGCTGACATCTGGGCCGAGTAAGCGTCTACTAAACACCGTCGAAGAACACTGGTCGCATATTCGTCAACCGTTAGTATCAGCAGGCATGTTCTTATGTGGCAAATCAAATTGCCAACCGAGACACTGGTTCTCTGCGAAGTCTCTGGACCTTATGGATGCTTGCTGACGTATTTCGGCTGGAGGCGGATACAATGAGACTCGTAAAAATCTCAGGGCAAAGCTGCGTGCTAGCCTGAATAGAGACCGCAAAGTCTGGCGGTCTCATCTTGCCATAGATATGGAAACGGCCACTACTGTTGGTAATCATAGCAAGTTATTCCGTCCGATACGGGAACCGGGCAGCAGGAGACTTAGTGTTAGCGGGACCGTCCTCGACGAGAGTGGGCAGCGATCCACAGCTTGTCAAAACGCTTGGAGCGTTGGGCCGAACACTTTGCAAGGCAGTTTAACCAATCTGAGTTATCGCTTTATCTTTCGGGCATGGATTGCCCTTCTCTATTGGCCGTCTCCTCAGACCCGCCCTCACGCGCAGAAGTCGAACGTGAGATCAAACTGTAGAAATTGCATAAGACCGCTGATCTAGATAGAATTCCCCCATCTTTACAAATTCGGATGACCTGCTTTTGTGGCTGATTTACACGAGTTGCTAATGGAACTTTGGGAGCAGAAAACTGTCCCGACAAACAAACTGCTCCTTCACAATCCCAATTTTTGAGGAAGGCCCCCGTTTCGAATGCGGCAACCATAGAGGGATCAGTCTGCTCTCAGTTGCTTCTAAATTACTTGTCTCTGTCCTTCTCCACAGACTGACTGGCGTTCATGAAGGCCAGATCCGCGAAGGGCAAGCTGGATTTCGTAGAGGTCAGGGCTGCATTGACCACATCTTCACCTTGTGTCAATTGTTGGAGCACCGTCATGTTTATTGGCGACCCACTGTTGTCGTGTTTCTCGACATCAAAGGTGCCTTCGATTCGGCGGATCTATGTGCACTTTGGGACTGTCTGCTGCGAAAAGGCGTGCCGGCGAATTATGTAAACATCAAAGCGCTGTACGTGTATAGTTCAGGTAGAGTGAGAGTTTATGGCAAACTATCGTTGTTCTTCAATATCTTGTCGGCCAATGGCCGAGTGGTCTACACGTTTGCTTTGCAACCATAAGGTCACCGGTTCGAATCCGCGTTGGGGTGGACGTCCTCGCGGTATACTCAGCCCGCGCGCGACTGGTGGGGGTTGCGCGGCTGCAAGCGCCGTTACGGCGTACAGCATTACATTATCTTCAATATCTTTAGCGGTGTGAGACAACGTTGCACGCTGTCACCTTTCCCCTTTTACTTCGCTATTGATGCAGCCATGGAAACAGCGTTCGCTGGACACGACCTAGAAGGTGTGGAGCTACTTTCTGGTGAACGACTTTTTGACTTGGAGTATGCGGACGACGTCGTCCTCATATGTGACAGCGCCCAAACGTGCCGAACGGCACTGGACCGATTAGCACTGGTTTGGGCTATGTTTTGCTCCATCGAAGTGCAAAGTACTTCTCCAAGATTGGCAGGATCCGCCCCTGCGCTGACCTTTGGTGGTGATCAGCCAGAAGCCGTTCAGGAATTCAAGTATCTTGGCAGCTATATTGGCGCCCGTGGAATCGAAAATGAGGTTACAAACCGTATAGCAAAAGCTCGATGTGCCTTTTTCAATTTCCACCTATGGCCTGGACGCGACATCACTGTAGCCGTAAAAGCCAGAGTTCCTAATGCAGCCGTCCGTTCAACCCTCTTATACGCTTGTGAAACCTGGCCCACCAGGTCGACATGCAGATGCTGGTCAAGCTCGACCATCGATGCCTTCGCAGCATGCATCATGTCTGGTGGGAGCACCGCGTGATCAATGAGCATGTTCGGCGTCGGGTATTTGGCACAGGAAGAGCCAGTGAACCGCTCAACACCATTATATCACGCACCAGGCTCCGATGGCTGGGCCACATGTTGCGCATCTCAGCACACCGACTCCCGTGCCGTGCACTGTTTGAGCGCCGGGGGTGCGGTTGAAATAGGAGGGGTGGCTAAGCGCTGACTTGGTCGAGAGAAATGTAAACCCTGACTTGAAGTTGGTGTCGGTTGGTGCATTTCGACTACCTGGCTAGGGTCCTAAGGACGATGAGCACTGGTTGGACACACTTGGTGATATGGCTAGGAGCCCCAATGGCGTTTGTATTGTGCGTTCCTTTG